GGAGATCAAGCCTTAGTTTTTTCCAAAAAGACAGTACAATTAGAAAGCAATACCTGTTCAATCATCAAAGATGCTATCGTATCTAAAAAAATGTTTCGAACAAGGTGAGTCATCGTGAAATTTTACAGAGGGTCGATCTTCCTGACGAAACGATGGACCGACGACTTAAAAGATAATAAAAAGAAAATTAACGAAGCTTAATAAATTAACGAGCTTTAATAAATACACATCCTACTGTTATGCCACCAAAAAATGACCCGGACGATCATTGGTGATATGTACATATATAACAAATATTTCTTTAAAATCTGTGTAAAAACCCATGAGAGGTTTTTGATTCAATAATCAGATATATGATCGAAAATCTCAGTCGAATTAAAGCTAGAAGGAAATAAAACTGTTTGTTTGATATTACAGTAAAGTAGATCGTGCAGTTGAATGCCAGAGGACAATATTAGCATATCTCTTGTAGCACAGAATAGAACATCATTTAACGTCAGGGTGGCCAAATAATCAAGAACGGTTAAAACAAACTCGCTCATCAGAAAAATACAGTCATGTTGCAAAAATACCACGGACGGTGTAGCAAACAGTTTGTTCTCCATATCTGCTTTATTTGCTTCTTGACGGTTTCTTAAAAAAATTGTTGCTGTGTCTGTTTTGTTTATATTGCTAAATGAACAGCTGGGGAAAAGTAGAATAAACTACATGTGATTATCTTTCTCTCATTTTCTTTGCTTCGCTTGTAAGACAGACCTATTCATAATTGCTTAGTAGAAAAAAGTCACAAGCGTTTGTGGGGACGAAAATTTTGCTTGTCCAAGAAAAAACTGCCCGATACTCGCCTGTTTTTCTCCTGATTTCGAAAACAAACCTCGTGATTTTTTACTAAAACCTCTCGATTTTTAAACTTTAGATTTGGGCACCCTTGTGCGCATGCACATTGTATCACAGGAAGTGAATTATAGATCAGGATCAAGATTCACTCGCAACGATGGATGGCGTGTTATTTTTGTTTGTTTGTTTGACAGCGTTTTTGATAAATATAAAGTATGAAGCTCTAAGACCTTTTTTCTCACGTGCTTCATTTGGCGTAAACTGATCATTCAGAATTCCTTTTGTTGATTCTAATGATTTTCTCAAAAATATTATAAGAGTTTTATCGCTAATGATAGTTACTGAAGCTTTCATCAGTGGCTACTTCACATTCTCATATGTATTTCTTGAGGTTTCATAGATATGTCTACAGAGAAATTGGGTCAAAGGCCAAGTGATAGAAATTGATAAAGTAAAGTAAATCTTACATTGGTCAATTAGATCAATCAAGTTGGAAAATTAATATGATTGGTCTAATTGGCTAAAGGAAAGGTTTACTTTACTATGTTTAGGGACCACCGCGAATTTCTCATTTGCAATTTTAGCTTTAACTCCCACTTTCTTCCCAGTTCGGGCGATACGGCAGTTATACGTGTACGTCACACTCCGTGTTTATAACGATCGGTGGTCCTTGTGAGAGCAAAGTGGTCTTCCACTTTGTAAAAATGAATTCCACTCTGTTTTCCATTTTGAAAATCACTTTGAGAACCACTTTGGTTTCTGAAATTTCCATTTTGTTTTCTTCTTCTCATCTGTACTAGTTTCGCCATTATAAGTTATTGGACATCTTATTGGCTTATTTCTTATAATTCATAACATAGAGACACAGCTGCTTTCTGTTTGTCTAATCCCATGTGCTTAATACTGGCAAAATACGGGCGATTACCGTTCGGTATTACCGGCAGTAACCACCCAGTATGTCACTGTATACCGTCGGTGTAACCAGCGGTACCGGCTGATATTTTGTTATTATGAATACGCAGAACAGGAGTTCGAAACTAATTTTCAACTTTCTTTTTTCATTGTTGTACTCTTGTAATCACAGACAGGCTCCCGATTAAGAGAAATTTGACTCGAGTCGAAGTCAAACTTCGACGAGTTTATATGATCTAAAAGAAAAGTTTAATCTGAAGAAGAAATCAAGTTTCTCGAATGTTATGTTTCTCTTATATCTTCATGGGTGCAAAATCAAATAGTGAATGGATAAAAACGGTTACCGTGCGGTATTTTCTTAGACCGCGGTCTAATAAGTTACCGTACCGACGGTATTTTGTTGAACCACCAGTATTTTAAAAAAAGCTTGACATGGGATAGCTAGACAAATGGGTTGATTTCCGTAAATCAGTCCATCATTAACTTTCGAATATAAAAGTCTTAAGCACTACATAAGAAGCTTCAATAAAAGAAAAAAAGAAACTAAACCTTTGCTATAGCACCTGACGAAAGAAGCTAGCGTAAGTGACCGACCGATGATCACCAACTTTTTGTTAAGATCTAATTAGAGGCAGAGTTTCCGACTCGAAACTTCTGAGATCAGTACTTGTATAATACAAGTCAGGAGGTTATGTGTAAATTTTTCTCGAAAATCAAGAGAAACCATTAGTTTTTCCCTATAACACCCTTCACATATTCATCATTGACTTTAGGAGCGGCGAGTAGTGAAAGATGCCCAGGTCCATGATTACGCCTATCGTAAACAACCGTGTGCGATACAAAAAGCTGAATAAGAAAAATACACACGATAAAAATACGGCACTTATACGACAGTTTACAACAGTTGTTTACTTTTTGTGGAAACAGTTTTGAAAATATTTTGAATAGACCAATATGATCGTAAACGGCTGTCGTAATCGCATCGTATTTATCGTTTACATGGCATCGTAACACACCACGTATACGACTGTCGTATTTCATCGTATTTGAAGGGATACTGTCGCTTACCGTCTGGGAGCTTGAACCTGAGTGACGATTGATGACATTAGGGAGGAGATGCTGAAAGATGTGAGAATTTTCAGCTTTTCCGACATCAAGTCCTCTTATATTCTTTTCAAGTGTTCAGTGGGACCTAAATAACCAATGATGCAGAATGCTTAATTCATGTTGATTAGTATAAGGACCGAAAAAAATGCGCTTATTCAAGCACTTTTTTGTTTTTAAAGGAAAGAAATTCATTGACTGAAGATTACGAATCTAAACAAGAAGTGGGCTTTCATTTCCTATTTTCGTTCTTGGATGATCTATCAGAATCACTGAGATATTCACATAAGCAACGCGCTCTATGGTGTAGAACCGTAAATATCTCGGTAGTTCTAATAGATCATAGAAAAGGAAAACAGGAAATGAAATCCAACCTGGGGGAAAAATGCTGTTAAAGATAAATTTCCCAGACGCGTCTAGAACTAAAAAATGTTTACATGGGAAGCTGAAATAGGTTCACGTTTTAGAACGCAAGTCGAAAGCAGTTTTACAAACGCTGCTTGCTGAAAGTTTATTTGAGTCAGTTAGCGTTAAACTGCAAAATGATCAGTGCCACTTTAGGATTCAGAGCAAAGTGGTTCATTCTATTTTGCTTACAAATCTCATTAGAAACGCTGATCAGACTCTGTACGTCACGTACTCTTGACGTCTATCACAGTTGGTACGCGTAACGAACGTATATGCATACAACAGTGTGCGTACCGAGCGTGACATGATTTTCTCTCTCTACCGTTCCATAGTAGCATGTTTATCTGACATCTATGATCCACCTCTAAAAAAGATACATGGTGCGCATGGCATGCATTTTGTACACTAAATACGCATGACGCACGCGTACGTCTCGCGCACGTTGTGTATAGAACGTGACATGCACGTACCACGTGCATAAGGCCCGATCTGGTTGGACTACGTAATATTTAAACAGATCTGTCGATAATTCTTTTTATAGTAGAAACAAACACTTCCTACATTCTATTAATTTTTCTGCCCATTCTTGGATTCCACCGAAAGAGACACGTGCTATATAGGTAGAGACAGTTCTATATATTATGTTTTCTTTTCTTCTTCCCGTTATAATGTAGCGTAGAAAAGAGGAAATATGGACCTTCACACACTCTTCTATTGGTTAGAGCAGCCACACTTAGCCTGTTTCAAGCTCTTGGCAGCTACTTTTTATCCAATACTAACGTTACTTGCTCTTGGCGGTGGTAGGTAAAAAACGGAAAACAGAAAATGCATTCATTATATTGGTCAGTTAGACCAATCATCAGCATTTCGAACTTGATTGGTCTAACGGACCAATATAATGTTCCGTTTTCCGTTTTTTACCTACCACCCTATTGGCAGCTGTTATCGGCAGGGAACTTCTATCAGCGAATAACAAATGCGCTAGTTTTAGCCGATGACGTACCTTCCAGTATTGGTCTGAAAAATTGGTCAATTAAAAAGAACACAAAAGTCACCGGAAAGACTTTGGAGAAAATATAGCGGAAACAGCGTCGAATCTTACAGATTACAGCTAGGTTTAGTCGTGTAATGGTATCAATACGAATAATGGTTATATAACAACTGCATGACTGTGCTATCGGAGATAACTCCTTCTTGTTCGAAGTGTCAAACTTTGGATGTTGTTATTTTTCTTTTTAACTGGCATCAGTCTTAACATACGCCTGTAGATGTGCGAGAAAAAGTATCTGTCTCAGATTTATCTCGAATGCGTCTATTACGAGCTCCGTTGAGAGGTTCTTCCAATCGTATTACTGATGTCTTGCACAACTAAACTGATGATGTTGTTGGAATGGACAATAGAAGAAATAAAAAGATATCAAATACTTCTTGTTTAAATCTTGACCTATTGTAGTCATTCGGCACTTAAGTTTACCTTTTTGTTTGTCAGTCGATAAACGGTCCTGTATCAATCGTGGCCGATCTTCAGTCGGTGAAATTCCAATATTCGTAAAAATTTCGTGCGGTTCCTCTTAAGTCTTTTGCAATAACTCTTCTGTACCATCTGATTGAAGGGAAAACAGGATTTATCTCTATGATTAGTAGTTTTCTGCTTTTTGAAATTTAAAATGCGTTCCTGGTCGTATAACAGTGGTTATATGCCTGATTCTCATTTAAGTTTTTAGAAATTTTTTGAAAACATGGCTGATGCGTTACATGATGATGATGACCAACAATTTCACACCGGAGATGCTGGTGCTTCAACCACGTGAGCTACTCTTTAAACACTAGTATTTTTCAAAACCCGTCAATAATTGCTATTGCTTTTTCTGAAATCAGATACCCACAGCAATGCTCAGCATTAAGAAAAAATGGTTTCGTCATGTTAAAAAGTCGACCATGTAAAATTGTTGAAATGTCAACATCCAAAACTGGAAAGCACGGTCATGCAAAGGTATTATCTATTCGTCAACACATGCACATCCATCCAAGGTATCACTTTTTTTTACAGGTTCATATGGTTGGTATCGATATATTTTCAGGCAAAAAATATGAAGATATCTGTCCATCAACGCACAATATGGAAGTTCCTAACATCAAACGTACTGAATATTCGGTATGTGCGAAAGAAACTTACATGTATAGAAAGGATGGTGTATTTACTTTCCCTTTTAAGTTGATTGATCTTGATTCTGATGGTTACGCTTCACTCATGGATGATAGTTCAGACACACGTAGCGACATTAAAATACCCGAAGGTGATTTAGGTACGTATCGCCTGTTAGCCTTGTGATAAATGTAGAATAATTGAAATATTCTCCCTCTGTATGTTTTAGGTCACGAAATACGTACCAAATTTGAGAATAATGAAAATGTCAAGGTTACTGTTTTAAAAGCCATGGGCGAAGAAGCAATAATGACGTATAAAATTGAGCAAGATTCGAAAAAATAAAAGGAAGAGAAAGATTGGGCACATACACTTTACACAAACACATGTTTACAATTCACAGTTTCTTATGCTCAAAATGATATCAATTTTTTTGTGTTTGAACTACATGATTTTTGCGTTAATTGAGAAGAACAACGGAAAGAAAGGAAGAAATGGTTTCTGTATTGTTTAGGTTTTTTTGTTGTTATATTGTTCATTCAATAAGTCTTTACTAAAGAAACGAAAATATATTATTACTGTTTTTATTACATGTGTTGTTTGCTACTTTGATTTTGAAAGTAGCCATCTTAAAATAGTGCTATATTAATTTTCTATTAGAATTCATTGAGAAATCTAAAAGAAAAAGTGAAATCGAGTTTGTGCGATGGTAAGGATGGTTGTTTACTTGTTAGAGGTAAGGGTTTAAGTGGGATTTGATAGACTGATCAATAAATTCGCATTATACTGCTATAAAAAAGAAAACTCTAGTAAAAAGAACTCTTGTCGTGATAAATATATATCAAGAAATTTGTTTGTTTCATGGATTCTACCAGAACATGTTGTTTCTTAACGAAAAGTTCATCAGGAAGTAATGCCGCCTAATTAACAATTCAGGTAATTGATTTTAAACCATCCGACAGTAGATTTTCAAAATGTATAAGTAACCTAAATTCAAGATCTTAATTAAGTTTGTTCTAAGAATAATAAAAAGAGAATAATTACTCACGGAGTTCTGTGCTCTGGAGAATGATTTTTCAAAGCTTTTATGAAGTTTAAAAGAAAAGAATTGTCTGCTGCAAAATTCGAGAAAGGCAGAAAAGTCTCGTTATAATGAATTGAGTTTATAGTTTAGACTTTAAGTTCCTGTTCAGTACTACAGTCGTCAAATTATTGAACTATGTACGGTATTTCGGTTATTTTATACTATTCAATTTATTTTATTTTTTCCATTTGCCAGATTTTTTGTTGTTCTTGCCTGACTGTTCTTAGTCTATACTTGTCTCCATTTCATAGATGAATGTGCTTATGATATTTCAGATTGATATCAGCTAAAATGTCTTGGACAGATCGTTTATTACATGCCGATAATCCTGTAGTTTTTTTTGATGTCACTGTTGGAAATACAGAAATTGGTCGTATTCTTATTGAGCTTTATGCACACGTGGCACCAAAATCGGCTGAAAATTTTCGACAGTTTTGTACAGGCGAATATAAAAAAGATGGCGTACCGTGTGGTTATAAGGGTGCTCCATTTCATCGTGTAATCAAAGATTTTATGATACAAGGCGGAGATTTTGTAAATGTGAGTAAGTAAGGTTTGCTCTATTTGTTTGCACAAAGTATAAACTATTAATACAATATGCTTGTTTTCTTTTTTTCAAGTCTGATGGAACGGGTTTGATGTCTATATATGGTGGAAAGTTCCCCGACGAAAATTTTGTTATGAAACATAATCAAGCCGGTTTATTGTCCATGGTAAGTAAACGAAATGGAGCTGTTAGTCTCTTAAATAGCTTCTTGTTTTATTCAGGCAAATAGCGGCAGAGATACAAATGGATGTCAATTTTTTATTACCTGGTAAGAGATATCTTTAGTCTATTGATTAACAATTATATTTGTGGTATTTTTTTAGTACAAACTGTGAGTTTTTAGATGGAAAACATGTCGTGTTTGGTAAGCATTCGGATATTTTTTAGATTAGAGTGACATTAATTTTCGGTCTTATTTAGGGCGGGTTATCGAAGGAATGTTAGTTGTTCGAAAAATTGAAAATGTACCAGTGGGAGTAAATAATAAACCAAAAATTGCCGTTGTTATATCTCAATGCGGCGAAATGTAGACCAATTGAAAAATGATATCCGTATTCGTACTTTTCTTTTTCATTGATATGAAAGACATATGTTATTAGATGTTTTGTACAGTTTTTTCTGTTATGGTCAATCAATTTGTTTCTTTAAAAAGAATAATTCAGTACAAGTTGACTTGTATCTGAATATTCCAGATACTATAGATTGTTTTTAAAGCTTTATGTTAATGATATTGCCTCAATTTACGGTCTATCATATTCGGCACTTTTTTAGGTCAAGGAAAAAACGTGGACTTTGGATTTTCGGATTTTAACAGTCTTTCATGAATCTAAATAGATTTAAGTGAGCTTCCAAGACCAAATTTTAACAGATTTTGTTGAACTTTTAAAAATCCATTAGAGTGTATTAAAGTCCAGAGTCTATTGTATAATTTTAACTTGAAAAAATGATCGTTTAATTTTTATTAATCGTATTACATATCCTCGTTGTAGGAAAATCGCCTCGTGTTGTTGTTGACAAAACATTTAGCTCATCTGCAAATGGATTTTGACGGACTTTTAAAGTCTCAAATTTGAACTTAAATTTACTTTTCTCTCTGGCCAAAATGTATAAATAATTGGATTATCATCAATACAAAGTCCAACTGATTTACGTCTGGCTTATACTAATTATCGTTTAGTAATATTAGCACTATGTTTATATCGCCTACACAGATCGTTCATAATGTATTCAATTTTGTTTAGCTGTACTCTAAACGTTACAGAGAATTTTGCTTTCGTTTAAAGAGTTTTGAGCCCTTCTGCATAACTGTACAGTAGACCTGAATAAGTGGTAATAATCAAGACATTTTACAACAGTTTTTATTTAGAAAATATAAAAGTGATTCGTGTAATTTAAAAGTGTTTATGTTGTTCAGGTTATGGTAATCATCCACTATTCAGATGTATCAAGGTGATCTAAGTTTACTGCTCCACTATCCACTATTCTCACAGTTCTAATTGGTCGTTGATTTAATGTTTCAATGCGTTCAATTTCTGCTAAAGTTGAAAATCCTTCAATAATATGTCCAAATGCAACAAAACGTTTGTCCATCCAGTTACATGCATTAGACAATGTTATGTAAAACTGTGAACCATTCGAATGACGAATACCTTTGTTGGCCATGCCTTTCAAAGTATAAAAATGAAAGTGCAATCCTGTGAACATAAAAAAAAATCTTACCTAAAACACCTCGACGATCATGTGGTACAATAAAACTTTCATCTTCAAATGTTTCTCCATAAATCGATTCACCACCATTTCCTCGTCCTCCCCATGTATCACCACCTTTAAGAAAAGATTTGTTGAGTTCACAACTACTTGTTCAGTTCTTTTCTTCATACCTTGAATCCATCCGTTTGGTACTATTCTGTGTATGATTGTATTTTTATAGTGTAATTTATTACCAGTTTTCAAATTTACATCTTTTTCACCCGTACATAATGAATAAAAATTTTCACATGTTTTTGGTGCAGCATCGTTAAATAATTCAAAAATAAGTCGTCCAATTGAACTACTATTACCATCTCGATCTTCGACAACAAAGTCCATAAATACGAATGAATTTCCACTATCGTGAAAACGTTTTCTAATAAAAATAACATCACTTTAGTATCGATAATGCGGTTTTTTTATTATACTTACACGTATTCTTCATTTGATAATACGGCAAGTAATTCTGGGGCTCGAAAATCGCCATAACCAAAATTAGATTGTGCCCATATCTGCAATTGTTCAGAACCTCCTAGCAGTTGATCATCAATAAATACCATAGCATCATGTATAAATGACCATGTTTCACCTCTTAGTTCTGCCTTTTTTGATTTTAAAAATTGTTTCCATTCGAATTCTAACAATGGATGAAAATCAATCGATTTGAATTGAGATGGATGAGTTCGTTTTAAGTCTTCTAAACAACTTTTAGCGGAACGATAGTTTTCAGAGTTAAGTAAACCAAATACCGCTACGCGCGACTGTCCAGGTGCCATTTTGGTTCCGTCGAAAATGAATGATTTTTGCTTAACAACATCCGCGACATATCAAATGTTTTTTTAGTTACGAAGTAACATAGACAAACAAAAACTACCAAGATGATGAGAATAGTAGGAGCCATGCTTTCAACTTTGATATTTTCTCTTACTTTTCCTATCGAGATGCATACATTATCCTTATTTCATCAAAGTGCATTGAACATTTAAATGTGCGCTACATTCGTAGTGAACGCGTAGTAGAAGAGAAGTGGCTCGATTAAAGGCAGTCTTGACGCAGAAGTCCCGCATAACTTTTAGAGCAAGAAGGGTGACAAACATGCTGAATGCAGTCTGAACTTCATAACAAAGTATTTTTCAATTCCACATATTTGTTGAAAAATGAATATAATACTGAACACAAATAGTTTTATACAGTTCACTGTTAACAGGGGTAAAAAAACTGACAAAAAACGCGTTAAAGGTTTCAAAACCAATACTTTTTTTGTCGTTTAAACGCATTTCTTTTAGGTATTCGTTTGAAAATGCGTTTTTCGGAATATCACAACGCGTTATAGAACGCGTTTTTCGATGAATGTCAGCGACAGTAAAAACGTTAATTAACGCGTTTTGAAATGATTCAGAAATAAAAAAAGAGAAAAAACACAGAGGTAAACCCTCAACTTTTGTCCCACCATTCTTCCACTTTCCCCATTCGGTCATATCCTCTTGACATTACATTAACTGACAACAAACTAATGGAGAGCAGTAGAATGAATACTTTGCAGTTCAAAATAACGAAAAAGTTCCATTTCAAGAAAATATCGTTAGAAGCGGCACGAAAAATGCGTTTTTTTCGAACTCGTTAGCGAATGAAGACGCATTTTTTGTCGTTAGAAACTTTAGAATAACGCGTTTGTTAACGATCGTTAAATTAACCGTTTTCGGACGTTTCTGTTGAATGCGTTTTCTAACGACGTTAGAATGATGTAACTTCGAACATTTTTTTTTTTGTAAACGCGTTTTAACGATCCTTTTAACGTTGTTAGAAAACGCGTTTAAACAGCTCTTTTAACGATCGTTCGCTAACGCGTTCGGAAAAACGCGTTTTCTGTGCGGTTTGTAACGATTATTTTTCGCCTGCGTTTATACACAAATTAATGAAGTAAAATTTCGAAAAGGCATTTCAGAATTGATTCCTGATTCGAGAGTAAACAGATTCTTTCAGGCATTGCTCTAAGTATAAAAAAGGTAACTTACATGTACTGCTTATTTGGAGGCAGAAAATAACCACAATACCTTCTTTAGTGTCACAAGGGAACCTTCCTAACTGTTCAATCGATTTTTTCACCGAACCTAGTGATTTATAGGTT